TCCCCTTTTACGCCACTCGCCAGTGATTCACTACCTCGTGGTGTTTTTAATTTACTGAAATCTGAAATTGCAGAAGTGAACCCAAGCATGCTTCCATTTTGTCTGCTTGAGACTGCCACAGCATTCTGTCTTATGATCTGAGGGGTTTTGCAAATTAGAACAATCTGCGTGGGCACCAGGCACATGGGAAAAACTCCCCCTTAAATGCCTGCAATTAAACACAAATGCTGCTGTTGCTTTGATTACAAACTTTTTTCTGCTCGGTGTGTTTCATCATCTGTACAGGAGGGGCTTTTTTTTCTTACTGATACCATGGCCTTGACAATGGTTGAGGTCTCTCTGTGTTTTTCAAAAGCAGGTGCTTGCCTCCAGTGGCCTGTTGAAAGTCAATCGACAGAAAAGACAGGAGCACATATTGGGAGCAGATGTGAACGCGCCGTGGTAGAAAACTGTGCACGAACAAAAAGAGGTGACCAAAAAAACATTGTTGTATGAATGTGGTTCATTGTGCTGGCCCATGTGTGTTTGATGGAGATGGCTGTGCTCACATTGAAGGTGGGTATGACTCACTTCATCCATTAGATCAGTGGCTGAGGTTTGGACAGCGGCCCTCCCCTGATACCAAGACCACCACTTGCAAACCTTCCCAAATATCCATCTGCTCAGCATTTCTGCCTTTGATTTTTTATTTTTTTTACAGGGAATTAAAGTGCTGCAAATGTAACACTTTGCAGTCCAAGTAGCGGTCACTGCTCAGCTCTGCGTGGCAGCAGTCACCGTGCTGCAGGCCAAATTTCCCCTCGGCAAACAAGGCCCGTCTGCCTCCCTTCTATAGATTTAACTTTATCTGCTGGTGAGCGATGCTTGCATCTTGTCAGCTCTTTGCTCAACAATTATGACTGTCCAAACAGGGGCGTTGTGCTGAGGGAGCATTAGTGTCCTTGAATAAAAACACACAAAACCGTAAAAGACTACATGTATGTAAGCTTCTCCACAGCATTAGGAAAGAAATAATTTCTTATGTTTGTGTCTCTCAGCAGGATGTGACGTCTACACCTGTTATCCAACAGCGCTGAATGCTTTCTGAGTGACCTTACTTTTTCCCTTTTAATATGTTTACATTCACTGAAAGGTAATAACGAAGCAGGAATAAGTTGAGGAGTGTGTTTAGTTTTTCTTCTTCTGTGAAGACGTCTCATTTGTTTATCTGTTTAAATAGCTGATAAAGTCAAAGTCCGGGGAGTGTGATGGTGAAGTAGTCATTGGCTGTCGTCCGGGGGACAGAGATTTGTCTCCTGAGCGATCTGGATTTAAACTTCATGCCAAACTTTAAAGCCAGTCATGTGTGTGCTCTCAATTTTCTTTATGGCAAGCATCCTAGCTAGCCTTAACAGAGACCCTCTCATAACATGTAGCAAATTTTTGGAGTCTTTTCTGGCTCAGTGGGTCGTGAATCCCACCCCATGTGGAGAGGACACAAATGTGCTGCAGGCACTAAAGAGGCTCTCTTTCTATATGTGTTACATTACAGTCATGCCTGGTCTTACAAAACAAAGTGCTAAATTAGTTTTCATCCGTGTGATGATGGTGCTTTTGCGTTTTATGTCTAGCTCATGACTTGCCTGTGGGCCTTCTAACCACTGGGAAATGTTTGAGAAATCCCTCTCAAGTTCTTATAATCAGCTAACTGGTTCAGACTAGTCAGCTAATAAACTGAGTTACATCAGGCTACACAATAGATGCCTTATGTCGCTTTTGACAGTTTGTAGATCAGTTGCATATCAGAATTGCCCTTTCGAGCACCTTTTATAAAGTATATTTGATGATAAATGTGAGAAAGATGCTTTTGATGTTTCATTTTTATATTTTGTTTACAGCCCTTTACTGGTGAAACGTCCAAGGCACCCTCTTTAAAAAACACAACTAGATAAAATGCCTCTATTTTCATGGCACTGTCTCTGTGACCTCTAAAACACAACAATCATTTTTTGGCTGACTAAGGAGTTAAAGAGATTAATGAAGTTCAAGGTCCGTTTTTAGTGGGAGTCCGCCAATAGGACTTCAAAACTTGTAATGTCCATCTGTAGAAATACACTTGTAGGAAACTTAAAACAACAAAAAGGGGATTCATTACTAAAATGGTGGAGGACGTAATTTGGCTCACATTAGCAATAAAAACATCCCATCATTATCAGTATCCATTGTAATGAATTAATTAAACCTGGAGGACACCTAGCTCATGGAAGAGTTCAACAGGCTCATGGTTGTTTTACTGTTACTGTTGAAAAAAAGAAAGGTACGGCATTACCATAATGTCCATCAGCACTTCTGCTGTGTTACTTATTAATATGCTTCATCTTGTTAATTTGATCCCGGATTTATCTTCAGGCTTAGGTTTCTAAATGTGACACGTATCACTGTGTTTGGTCAAATTTAGGGCTCAAAGTTGAATTTTTTTGAAAGTGACTAAAGTAAATTATTTACAAAAGTTAAGGAAGTGTCAATGTCTTCGTTAAAATTAAAAGGTGAGGGAATGATTAATTGTTCTTAACAGTGGTTAACTGCAATGTTTAACACGACAACAGTCACTTGAAAGCAATTTTGGCAGCAGCGGTTTGCGTCAATGCTGGACCATGAAAAGCAGCAGTCTCCTCTTGTGTTGTCTTGGTTACCAGGGTGACAAGTACAGTCTCATCCTCTTTGATGGCGAAAACAACTCAGTGTTTTTATGATGTTTAGGGGACTTCTGAGCATTCATTTAGACGTTCAACATTCGTTGATGCTGAAATTGTTATAATCCTAAACCTTTCCAAACAGTTTTGTTCCAAAATGCAATAGACCTCCTAAAACTGATGGATTTTTAAAGATTTTCTGACCTGATCCAGAGAGATATCATCCAAAACTGTGTTTGTCACAAAGACACAGTTGCCTCAAATCTTGTCATATGTGTGGTAAACCTGTTCTCACTCCCAACTGGCCTCACGCTGGAGCCTGGTCAGCATCCCATTGTTTTGGCCTGAATGCACAGGATGACCACAAAGCATCACCTTTAGAGATGCAGGCTTTCCTCGGCTGGCGACATAACGGTGAATAAGTTGCCATGGCAACGTGGAAAATGTCAATGAAGCTTTCTACAGTAAATTATTTTAATGTGGGAGCTATTGCCTCATCATGGTCTTTTCTGAGTGGAGCAATTGAAACCAAAGTAAAGACGATAAGTCAGATTCAGGTAAATGGAAGACAAGAAAATGTTCTTTAGCAAGCACTATTGTGACCAATAGGCTTTCAACCATTCAAACTAGCCCAAAATAATATCTCCAAAAAATGGTGGAGGCAGATAAAGTGTTAAAATGGAATACCATATCTCTGAAAACAACAAGCTTCTCCTCTATTGTGCTGGTTACCGGAGTGACGGGTTTTCCAGACTGGTTTTCCTACTGATGATAGGCAGATGGTTTATATCCTGCTGTGCATTCTTTGGAAGCACTTGGCCTTTTCCGAACCTAATCGCACTGCTACTGAAAATAACGAGGCCACGGAATCCACAAATGGCAGCTCAACTTAGGGCACAAACCCCACTCTCACTGATGAAAGTCCTATTTTTGAGTCATGCAACAATGCGACTTCTAATGTGCCTGTGTGGCCGTATTACCGCTGTCACGGTGATAGAGCTGCTGCGCCCACGATGACAAAATAACATTTAAACCTCAGATTGGTAGTTTATCTGCTGCGGAAGCATGCATTTTACAACATAACGGGAGTGTTGGGGAGGTTTTACGGCTGATGTCATTTGAAAATGTCAAGCAGTCTGGGCTGTTTTGCATAATTTCGCAGATACTCAGCAGTGGATCAAATGTCTTACTGAAAATTATCCAGAAAGTCGAGAGTCTTGCCTTTCGAACAAAATTAGCACAGCACTGATTATGTTTTCATTAACACCCCACAGTCTGCACTCAGGCAGTGCAGTAAGCATCAGGGGACGCAGCACTTGTTACTGGAGCTCTGCTGTGTTTAAAGGGAGGCCTTGATTGCCGACATCATTGCAGCCTCGTATTCACTTCCTGTGTTAATCCCCTCTCCGTTGTGTGTGTGTGTGTGGGGGATTTTTCACTTCTGCTTCGCTTCACCCTAAACACCATTCACCCAAGATTCGCATATGGAGCCACCATATCCTGCTCAAACAAACAGCATTCAGCAGGCAGAAACAAACACTTTTGTGTTTGAGTTAAATTTAGTTCCAGTCTGCTTTCACCCAAACGCCATTGCCCACGAGGGCCGTCTGCCCTTAGACTGAATTAGATCATACATGACTGTGTCGTCCGCTGCCCCCCCCCCCCCGCAGCGTGTTTCCTACATGCCAGCGCAGTCGACCTGCAGCTACGTCAACCCACTTCTGCAGCGTCCTTCCCAACTGGTCAGAATCACCAGTCCAGAAAGAGTTGGACGTTTGCGATTTCAAACATTTGAATTACTTCGAGAGCAGGCTTTGTTCGCAGCGTATGACACGCAGCTGCCGAAGCACCTCGGGGCCTCCTTAGTACTGTACTCTGGGAGATGTGCCATCCCATCTCCCCTTTCACCGATGCTCTCATTCCTACAAACCCCGCAGGCCATGCACGGCTCCTCAGAGAGCAGTGTGGTCCAGAAGACAGGAAACAGCTTGAGAGAAGCCCAGCAGTCAAGGCTGTGGGAGGGCAGAGGATAGGGTGGGGAAAAAAGGGGATTTCCTCATATGGTGCTTGGACTTTTATCACAACTGTGGACTCCTTATCTGTTTGTCTACCTCATGTGGATGATTAATTTAGGAGGTGATTACATCCACTTTTGGGGTCTATACGACCGTGGGGGTCTGGGAAAAGTCTGTGGACTTGAATCAGATGGATTCGCTCCCCTCTGGTAGCATTGTTGTCCAAGTTTTTCAGCATCCTGTCAGCATGACCCTTATATGCAAATCTGTATGCAGACTGCCCCCCCCTTTAGATTAAGCACCCCCTCCTCCTCATAGGGTTCCTCTGATGGATCAGCCTCATTAGGCTTTCATTACAGAGTTGAGAAAAAATTTGCATCTGGATTAATTATTCAAAGGCTGTGCGTGATGTTTCTTGAAAGCTTACCTCTGCTTACTGTGTCTTTAAAGTCGCGTGGAGGGGAGCCTATACTAAAGAAAGGAGGGGGCTGCTGTGCGCCAGTTGGAGGTGTCTGCCTGTCGCTGCGGCTTGGGGCTGACATTAAGTAGAGCGCGTTCATGCTTCACTTGGGATGTACATCGCAATTTGAAGGCGTTGGAATCGCAGGCGATCAAGGCAAATGCTCACCGGACGGGATCTTAATGGATGGACGGGGAAATCCTGCAGTCGCTTTTAAGTTGTCAGCCGAGGCGATACATTTCTGGATATAATGGGGAATACAGCACCTAAGCCGTTAATAGGTGAGAATTACATCGTTTTTTTTTTATCATTGACCATTAGGGTTTGTAATGTGGTTACAGATGAAGCGGCGTCTGTTCAGACAGCTTGCTGAGCAAGAGATGCACATTTTTGTCCCAGTTTTTGTGTTCGCTCTGCGTGCAGACGCGCTCCCCATCACGGGGGAGCTGAGCGTGATTCTCAGGGAGCGAGTCAAAGAGAGCGCTCCTCCACCACCGGTGGACTTTTTCCCATCATTTGCAGGATTCAGATCAATGATGCGACATCATATGTGCGGGGGAGGGCCGGGCATCATGTAAAATATACGACGTATTTAAAGATGATCTTAAAAAAAAATGCTATCAAAGATCCTCTTCGAAGTTACAATTCGTGTGTCATTATATCACTTATGCACTTTTCATTCTCAATTATACCAAACTAAAGGGTAAATTGAAGCACTTTCTGAATGGTTTGTATACTCATATACAGTGTCTATATGATTTTGAAAAATTTTAGTCAGATTTATTTTTCTTGTCAGCCTTAAATCAAAAGCAACATTCTTTACTGACTCCTTGGAGTGTTTTCTGGGGCTTATTCAACCAGGATTTTGTTGCCGCCAGCCAGCTCACATAAATCACAAAACTTATCATACGAACACAACCAGGAAAACAAAGGAAAAGAGCTGAACAACCACAAAGGGGGAAAGAAGCTGGGTTACGCTGAAAGATTCTCGATTTGTAACCTGTTTTTTATTCTCATTACTTTAAGTGCTGTCTCAAGTGATTGTCAGTGATTTATTCCTGCTGATTGTCTGCTTCTGTTTTTGTAGGATCATGAGCTCTCAGAACACCACTTTCTCAGACACTTTGCCATGTCATCTAGTGCCCATTACTTTACAATCAGCTCCCCATATCAGTTTGATTTAGCGTCTGTCACACTCCCACGCCCCTAGCAGACCCTCTTGCCAGCCAGATGATGTGGCTGCTGCCACTGGCAGTTGGTTCTGGGTTTGGCCTGAGAGGGTTTAGTCATAGCGAGCAGGAAGCACACGCGTGCAGGAGCCGAGAGGGAATTTGTGCTTCCGCTGAAAGATTCCCATTAACGGGGACCTTCTGGAAATATTTGCATCAACCGCCTCTATGTAAAGCGTATTTTCAAGACAGGCCTGGATATGCGAACGAACAGCAAAGCTGGTTCTTCTTTTTACCCAAAGACGATGCTGATGAGTGAATATAATCAGCTCACATTTCAGAAAGCTCACATAGACCTCATCCTATGATTGCATTGATTTCCTGTTTTTCATTCCTCCGCAACAACATTCCTTTTACCCGACTGTTTTTCTCCAGAAGCAGGAGATCCTTTACGTGCAGCAGCTGACATTCGCTCAGCGTGACATTTATTGATGACAGTAACCTGCAAGCATTTGCTGAGGTTTGCTTGACAAGCAATTTCTTGTCAACTGTTTCGAAATGCTGTCGAAATCCTGTTTTATCTTGTACTTTACTCCCCAAAGTTCGAAATAGATTTATGACTTCTAATCTTAAAGATGTTCACGTATTTTAGTTCTAATTCTTTTGCTGCTCCTGCTGATGCTGGTGCTGTGCTCCAACATGATACATCGGCCCTTTTCCTTTGTGACAGAGTGGCATCCTGAGTAGTCATTGTTGAGTTCATTTCTGCCCAGTAAATGTATAAAAACAAAAAGAAAACGAGGCCACAGAATCCACAAATGGCTGGTCCACTTAGGGCACAGAGCTAAGTGTATTGATCTCAGAACTCTCAATAGATTATATTGAATCAGTGACAAAAGCCAGTTTTTCAGACAAACATGATTCATTGTGAAATTATTGTGTTTGTACCAAAGAAAACCTAGATTTAAAACAAAGGCACACTCATGCAGCACTGGTCGTAATGGAATAAATGGATGTAGATGCTCTGGACATCGTTCAGAGTTCCATTATTATTAAACTTTAAACCGATACAGCCAAATTCCCAGCAAAGCTGTCATAAAGTCACTCATATCTGTCACTTAGTTTTTGTTGTTGTGAGACGGCTACATGTTAGAGACAGCGTAACTAAAAACACCCCATTGAGGCTACTTGAACCTTCGAGACTGTCACTCTGCTCTAACAAAATCTCATCTTTACAAATGCAGCATCATTAGACAAAATCATAACTCGAGTAACTGAGAAACACACATGTGTAGAGGAACAGCTGCATTTATTCTAATCACTCACGTGGAAAGTAAAACGCAGAACGTCATGAATGTTAACCTACACATGCACATGTCTGATATATAGTCAATAATTCAATCCCATCCTCCTGCAGGTAAACTGCAACACAGTCTCACATCGAAATGTAAAATGATCATGAAAATCTGGTTTGTTGGGCAATGTCCAACAGGTTTTTGGTGCCTCTAGACATAAAATGAAAAAGTGGTACCTATGATATCGTATGTATTTCATATTAATATTGATATTTATCATTAAAGGGGTAGATAATTGTAAAAGGTTTCTGCTTTATCTGGTGGTCAAGTGTCAGAAGCTGAGCTGGCAAACGTTTCAGGAGCAAATAGCTGCTCTCATCCATGTTTGTTCTAAGAAACAGAGTTTACTTACTTTACTTTAGAAATAGTTTAAAAATAGAACTTTTAAAACTAATATCAAATGTTTCCAAAAATTCAGTTTAGTAAACAAAGACTTTTTGGGGCCAGTAAAATTCTCGTAGAAAAGCAGCAGGCTTTACACAACGATCCTATAATTTTTAAAGATCGGAAGGTCGGTATTCCTGTTCACAAATGTCTCTTTAATACGAGTGGCACCGGCTGTGGCTATAGCATGCTGTGAGCTGTTCCTCGCTGCATGACCTGTTATGCTATGCCTTTCATCTAATAATGGCAAACAAGTGTCTATATCAGGCTTCACTGTAGGTGATTTAACTCTATGTTCCCAGTATGTCATTCTGTCAGCGAGGCAGTGGAGCCTAAGGCCTATAAGCTAAGCCCCAACATGTTTTCCTTCCATTTACTATACCCAAAGTATATTTTACTTTCCCAAAAACCAAATTTCCAGAGTACAAAAGGGAAGGGGCACCCGCACATCATTTGAGATGTTACAGATGTTCTTGCTTCTGCTTCAGAGTTTAGAATATAATCAGTGATAATGCCTAATTTAGGAAATGTGCTGTGGAACATTTCACTGAGTTATTGTTCTTACTCTAGATCGCGCTGGATTTAAACAGAAATTTAATCACTCCGTTGCCCTGGAGGAGGGTAGACACACAGCCTCGCTTTGAATTTTGATCTGAGTCGGCCTATACCATAAACACTCATCTCAACCTTTTGTTTAATTCCATAGAAACCCCCCAAAATCCCGGTCCTGTTTAAGCCAGTGTTCGGTTTTGCCTTGTTTGATTTCTGAGCCCTTATTAATTTGTTTCGCAAAGCTCTTCAAGAGATTATTTTCCCCAAGTACACTGACTTCTCCTGTGAAGATGCGATCAAAGATTAAGTCTTTTATTTGAGTATTTCAACAGCAAGTTAGCACTGTGTGAATCACTCTCCTCTTCTGAAGATCACTGAAGGCATCAAAGGGGTGATTCAGGGTTTGTTTATGCTGTAGGCCAGGGATGTGCATCGTCCATATATGTGCTGGGAACTTTATGTGTCTGCTGTCGACTTTATGTTGGCTTTTTTGTTTTGTTTTCTCTCCGGCACGATGACGGTAATATTAGCACGGGACTTGGTCTGCTATTTAAATTTTTCCTCTGTGATTTATGCACATGGGACTTTCGGCTGAATATAGGGCAACATATGGATGTGGTGAGAGGACGGATTTGGGACAGTTGGCCATTTTACACCATAAATGTGCTCTCCAAACTGAAAGAGACTATTTATTGTGCTCATTGAGTGGAGGAGAGGGGTTTTATATGCATTATGGTTTGGGAAGTTTAAGAGACTGTGGGCTCCCTTTCATAAGTTGGTCTCTGCCCTCTAAACCAGCTCCCATGGGCCACTTGCAAACAACTCATTGTGTGCTGATTATGTTGTTTTTTCCAACAGCGTTGTCACAACGATTGCTGTTATGACCTTACCACAGTCACATAAGTGCAAGCCTGTAGTTCACATACCCATGTTCCCTCTGCCAGGTTGAATCATTAATGGAGTCTTCTTTTTTCTCTCTGATGTTCCTCCGCCCACAGATGCAAATCTGCAACCCCGCCCGGTGGCTAGCAGGCAGTACTACACCGCGCCCAACAGCGGGGCAGGTATTGAGAGGAGGACATCCGCTCCCCCCGTCAGCATCAACGTCGAGTCCCCGCGCTTTCACCCCCACGCCAAAGGAAAGAACATCAGGCTGGACGGACAGTTGCGCCGCGCCACTCGCAAGAACAGCTTCTGTAACGGCATCACGTTCAGCCACCGGCCCGTTCACCTTTACGAAAAGGTTCCTTTTCCTCTTTTTCAGCACTGAGTAATCAACACGTAAAGACCAAATCTGACTCTGATGTTGATTATTTTAGGTGCGTTTGCGCTTGTCCGGTGTGCACACCGGCTGGAGTGGAGCTCTGCGCTTCGGCTTCACCAGTCTGGATCCCAGCGAACTGGTCACCGCAGACATCCCCAAGTACGCCTGTCCAGACCTGGTGACACGGCCGGGCTACTGGGCCAAAGCCCTGCCTGAGCGACTGGCCGTGAAGGACAACGTCTTGTCATTCTGGGCTGATCGCCACGGGAGAGTTTTCTACAGCATCAATGATGGAGAGCCCATTCTCTTCCACTGTGGGCTCAGCATCGGCTGTCCTCTTTGGGCCATCATAGACATCTATGGCATCACTCAGGAGGTCACGCTGCTCGGTAAGAGTTTTATCGTGCTGTTTGCCTGCTCTGTAAAAGCACTCTTATGGAGTGCTTACACAACTGTTTGGAGTAGAGCCAACCAATAAAAGAAAAAGAATTGCATTAAGATATCCAAAATAAGTGTTGAGTTATGTAGAATTTTCTCTCTGGGCTCAGCTCAGGCGGCCCGAGTGCTCTGTGTTTAGACCATAGCTTTGACAACCCCTGAAACCTCAGGGACATATTTTTACAGTGTCAATATATTCACAGCTAAATAAAGCAGTTCCTTGTGAGTTCAGCAAGCAGCTCTATAACAAAGCACCAAAGCACCACAGGCCAATTTACAAGGAGTGGTGTAGTGTGGCCTGAGATGGCACCATGATGAATGATCTGTGTGTCGGAGCTGATCTGTGTTTGACTGGAAAACCAGAGCCTGCTTCTCTCAGATTGGCCGACATGATGGTAAGAGATGAACAACAGATGTCAGGCAGCGAAATTCACCCCTGCAGCTTACCCAGCCACTCCTCTCCTTCCCTTACTACCACTTTCCCGCGCTTTGTCACTTTCTCCCCTCACGCTGCCTCGGTTTCCATCGTTCTCTCCCCTGCGGTCCCCACTCGTAGGCCCTGCATGTGTTTATCTTCAGTCTGACAGGAGCTATGACTTTGTTTGGTCAAGGCGGCCGATCCCAGAAGCTTTGGTGAGGGGCCGCTATGTTCAGCTGCTCCAGAATCATTAGAAATAGTGGTAAAAGAATGTATCCAAACTACAAGAACCACAAGTTCCACATTTATTTATATCAACCTCTACAAATCAGAGAACTTCTGTTCTGTACTCTGAATACAGAGTGGGGAGTGTGCAGTTTAAAGAACTCATGTTTGTGAGGGAAGAATTATAGAGAGGTAAATAATGTGGGGGAGGTCAGTAAATGCCTGCCTGGCAAAGCTTATTTGTTCCAAAAAGAAAGGTTTATTTAAGCCCAGCATGGCCCACTTATAAATGCCTCCAAGTATAGATAATTAATGTGCCGTCAATTCCAGTAGGGAAATGTTTAAATTAATTATATGAAGGAAATAAGGTGAATTACACTTTTAGATTCAGTAGGAAATGTCAAATATTTGAAATATCTCTCACATTAGAGATGCTGTCTCATCAGAACAAACCCTTAGATGCTGACTGTGTCCAAATATGACCCTTTAGCACAAAACGAGGTATTTCTGGGCTGATGACAGCTACTGTTAAACCAGTGGACGAACTTCAGCATTAAAATCTTCCTGTTTGTGTCTGGGACTGACATATTTAGGTTTCATGTGCTTTTGTTGAATGGGCGTTTTTTTGTCCTCTTTTTCTTTCCAGACAGCACGTTTGCTGATAGCGTGGGCTCCAGCTGCCTGAGTGCGGCCCGTCTGAGTGCCTATCTGCCCCAGAGCAGCCACGATTCAGCCAATTACAGCAACAATCAGCTGGAAAACAATCAGGCCGCCGCCAAGATGGCCAACCTGCAGCTCAACAACTACACTCAGCTCATCCCCTGCTGCTCCTCCACCTCTACCTTCTCCACGTCATCCTCATCCGTCTCCGCTGCATTCCCAAGGGTGGCCCGGGGCCTTCCCTCTCTGCTGGACAATGACTTGCACTTTCATCCGGTCCGTGGCTCCGATGTGATTCTGTCTGCGGACCGCTCCGCCGCCTGCATCCATTTCCTGGACAGCAGTCGGACTCTGGTGTTCAGCGACCGGCCGCTGCACGTGGGTGAGACTTTGTACGTGGAGGTGGGCCACCTGGGCCTGCCGTACTTTGGTGCCATGTCCTTCGGCCTGACCTCCTGCGACCCCGCCTGTCTGCACGCCGGAGACCTGCCCGCCGACCCCGAAGTTCTCCTGGACCGCAAGGAGTACTGGGTGGTGCACCGGGGATTCCCCATGCCTTGCTCTGGCGACGTGCTTAGCTTCAGCCTGCTGTCCAACGGGGAGGTGCACCACGGGGTGAACGGAGTGGGACGTGGCAGGCTGCTGTGTGTGGACTCCTCCCAGGTTCTGTGGGCCTTTTTCACCCTGCACGGAGCTATCAACAGACTCAGGATACTCGGTAAGTGTTTCTTAGAGCCACTCAAAATGATTTCTGCTCATTTTGTTTGTGCAAAAAAATCCCCAAAACATTTCATTGTCCAATTTTTCAACATCATTAAAAACAACCATAGGAAAAGCCCATAGCTATTTGGTTATTATATGTCTTTTAATAAAAAGGTACTGCTTTTTGGTACTTGCTTGATGTGCGTCAGTCTACTTGGATCCCCTGGTGCCATACTGAATACCCTTCAGTAATAATTTGAATTGCACACACTGTTAGCTCTACCAAACACAGACCCAGATCAATCTTTATTTAGAAAAGAATTATGCCCGGTAAACAAGATAAATTGTTGAAGGGAGGCTAGAAGAAAAGATTTTCCAATAAATCCACTCATTTGCATGAACATACACTGCAAGCATTGCCACAGCTCATCCAAAAACAGGGACGCATCGTGCACATTCCTTAGATAAAACACAGCCCTTAAGAGGCTAAAAAGGCATTTCTAAACACTTGTAAGATTTATATCTGAAATTATTTTACATTCTGACCACCAGCACATATATCCGGTGGGAAAACAAACAAAACAAACAAAAATTATGAAATGATTCGCAAAGAACCATATCAGAGAAGCTGCCATTCTTCAAGCATCCATGCTGCATTTGAAAGCGTGTCAGCTACATATTCAGCCGGGGCAGTATTACAAAAGTGTACAGCTAAATTGGTGAATGAGTCTAAATTCAAACAAACAGCTTCCTGCATTGCTATATTTTTTAAACAGAGTAAGAATGGCATCCATCTTCATATTCTCCTCCATGCTACAAATCAGATGAGCATTTTTAAAGCCTGATGTTTTGGGGGTTTTTTTGTGACCCATGCGACCCCAGTCCCACTACTCCTACTTAAACTGCTATCAGCTCCGCCGGCACTCTGGGTGTTTTTTAATCCAACAATACTCTCCTCTAGACTGTACCATGCAAAATCACCCTATTAAAAAATGAACTCCCAATCAAATTGATTAGAGCCATCCATTTAGAGCCTGGCATTCCAGTCATGGTTTCAAACACTTTGAAGACCTCATACTAAAAGAAAATAAATTAACTACTGTTAAATATATACTCTGATTAATTCACCCCTTTTAAAGGCACTTGAGAGTCGTTGTTATCTGGAGCTAGCTGATTTGTATTTTCCTTTGTGACACAGGAACTCTGCAGTCCAGTCCTCCCCCCACATCTCCCACCACCTCTCAAAGCAGCAGCCCAGATGACAGTGACTCAGACCTAGTGTTCAGTGTCAACAGATCCTCCTCTGCCTCTGAATCCTCTCTTGGTAAGATGCCAAATGTTGAAAGCATACCTCGTGCTACACTGTATATAGAAACCCTCACAAGACCAACCATGGGACGCCGTCGATGTGTTGCAGTTGTGCTGGACAGAACTGTTCAGTGGCATAAATCGTGGGAAAAATGTTTCGCTTCACCTTGGATATTTGAACAAGAAGTGTGGTCCACCTTTTTCACAATGTAAAGGAAACCCATGAGCAGCTCGTTATCCTGTCAACACCGCACGCATTCCATGTTACTCAGTTGAGGAAACAGCTTACTTTTTCAGGACGGAGACCATTGCGCACTTTAAGACATTCTTATTGACATCACTGACATTTTCTTATGTCACAAAAATTTGAAGTAAAACCGTACGAGAATCAGGAAAAACGTAAGATTTCATGAAGAGTCATTTTTTTTATACTGATATAGTTTAATAAACACACTCCGATTGCGGGGATGATCTTTATCCGGACTGCAGCGAGAATGATAATCCGCACATGTAAGCAGATCGTCTCCATTTTTAGACATTCACATACCTTTTTCTTCTTTCTCCTCCAGTGACTGCGCCCAGTTCCCCCCTCAGCCCTCCCACCTCTCCCTGCCTGTCCACCTCAGAGCCGCCCTCTGCTGGCAAAAACGGGGAATGCACCATCTGCTTTGATCAGGAGGTGGACACCGTCATCTACACCTGCGGACACATGTGTCTGTGCAACGAGTGCGGCCTGCGGCTGAAGAGGCAGACCAACGCCTGCTGCCCCATATGCAGGAGGCCCATCAAAGATGTCATCAAGACGTACCGGCCATGATGGCACAGATGTTTAAACAGGTGCGGCGGGCTCCTCATCAGGACCTGGTCACCTGTTGATCCTTCTCAGGCTTTGCTGGACATCATTCGTGATCCCAACCGGAGATTAGCCACACCCGTAGATTGCTGTGCCTCTTTCCTTTTTTCCATTTTATATGGGCAAATCCTATCCGGAGACTGACTAACTTTGTAATCACTACCAAGATGAAGCTCATCTTTATACATAAACTGCACACAAGAGCACCTGTACTTTGGCTAAGCAGGGTGTGATGTAACGTGCTCCTTTTTTTTATATTTTCCATGTGATGTCGTCCATGTCATGTGCATTTGTTGAGCAGAAAGGCCTGCTGTGAATATTTTTGTCTGTAACGTCATTGTTCTAGATTTCCTTGTGCTTTGGCAGAAAATGTGGACCATGGTCTCTGACTTATAGTGCCTTAGAATTTCATCAACATTATTTGTCCAAGTAATTATGCTAACAATCCTAGCCATATTTTAATGTACTTTAATGAAAGTTGGTGATAAATAAGGGACAATGATGATACATTTATGCAATAATAGTTGTAATGGTAAGTAGAAAGAAGGATTTAGCTGTATGTAAGCCTGTCCAATGCTGTGTTTTAGGTGTGATGGGAAAGTTTGTTTGAAAAAGGAAGTATCTGGTTTTGCACATTGAGAGTTTAATAAATGTGGTCTGAATAAGATGTGTCTTGTCTTTATATTCAGACGATCATAAAGGTTTCAATTGAATGCTCGTGTCTGAGGAAGAAAAACTCTCTCTGATTACCAGATCTGAGTTTACCTGAAATGCAATAAGCGTATTCCAGTCTAAATAATATTAGAAACTAATTTAAATGTAAAAAATATGCACTGATATGAAATCTTATATAAAAAATACACTAACAGCTTTTACCAGCTTTTTTTTAACCAGCTTTATCACATGTCTGTTGGTAAAGCAAGATGTACCAATAAAACAAGGATTGCTCTTTTTTTTATTTCTTACAACACTAACATCTAATTAAGGTCTTGTGTACCAAAACAGCAGAACGATCAAACTATGCCAAGGTGAGATTCTGTCCTTTTCTGGAAAAAAACAAACAGGAAACATATGACACAGACACTAACAGCACTACTTTACATAAACAGACACGCAAACAGAACTAATGATGAAACAGATATTGTTTGTAGGTGCCACATTAGAGGACAAAGTCTTACAAATCTCTACTTTTAATTCAGTTTCTATACTTGAGCTTCTCTGCTTTGACTTACCAACCTGTTTGCTGTCTTATACATTACAGCATAGGCGATTTGTAGACTACATGTTTCATAACTCTAACTGATTTATCTCTTTTATTTGAAACAGAAAACTTTTGATTTACATTTATGTGGTAATTCGGGGCATGAGTTGAATAAAATGCTCACTTTTCTCCGGGAATGTCACAGTTGTGTAAGTATGAACAGTTTTTCTGACTTGTTCTTGAACGTCTGAGCTGGTATTTCAGGATAATCATGTTTTTCCTGACGTGTGGCTCAGACGTACACAGCTGTTTTGCTAAACTAGGATCTTTTTCACAGAATGTCCCTGGCTCCTTCAGTCAGCTCCATCACAAACTTGGGACACCATGCAAGCACTTGGAGATGTGTTACCTCTTTTGCTAAAGCCTCTGTGTGGTAAATTGTTTTAAAAAGGTGCACAATTCTATCCCCAACGTTTATATAAAGGCAGAGATTTTGAGAAAGAAAAGAGAAAATACAGACATATATAACAGACATTTTTGTTCATGAATTAAGAAACCTTTGAAATCTCATCTGTGGTGCAGAGTAGGAAACGTATGTATGTATGTATGTATGTATGTATGTATGTATGTATGTATGTATGTATGTATGTATGTATGTATGTATGTATGTATGTATGTATGTATGTATGTATGTATGGTTAGAAATTGTGATATTTAATATTCAATCTTTCAAGCTACCAGTTATTTAACCTTTTCACTTCCATTAAAAGACTAAACAAATCCTTTCCATTACGAGGGCACAAAGATATTACCGTGTAAACTCTTGGTTTATCCTCATAAAGACTCGGTTTACAGCCACAGATTCCCTCCTGCCCTTTTTGTTTTTCAAATAAAAAAATAAAAAAACATTAGGCCAAGATGAACACCTTTAGGCTCCGTGGCAAAGTAACACTTGGGGGAAACTGAAACACAAGCAGTCTCATTATCTTTAGAATTTCCAGAAAACATTAGCATGTTCATTTCTTACTTCTGTCAAATCAAAACTGTAAATTAGAGAGGAAACTGCCTCAGAGCAAAGAGTCAGTGAACAATGGTGTTTTTGTTCTAAAAATTCTCATCTGCAGCTCAACCAAACTGACTGCAGCAAAGCTGCCCCCATTTTGCTCAAAGTATTTCAGGTCTGCTCAGTGAATGTGCCATCTATGGCAACATTGGAGAAGTAGCGTTAGTTTTATAAGAGCCCTGGAAGGGACGGCCATTGATTGATTCAAACCCTTCCTTAAGTTTATTTGATGATTGTGCTGTGAGACACTGAACAAGCTAAAGTTCGTGATGGCCAAGTCACAAGACGAGCTCTGTTACAAGGTTAAAACTGAGGAAATAGAGAGGTGTTGTAGAGGAATATCTCTAGTTAAATTAGGTTCAGCCTGAGCAGAAATGCTGCTTCTATAAGAAACAGGAATTGGTGTTTGCATTTCCTGAATTATTTTCACTGAGGTGAGATTGGAATGGTGTTGGTGTGTCTCCACATCAGTACAGCTCATTAATGATACTAATGCTATGAACTGCACAGCATCATTGGACCTAATTCTCAGCCCACTTTTGTGTTTCCTGTAAGTGGAAAGAATACCGCCCGATTTATAAAGGTGAAAACAAGCTACTGAACATTCCTTTCAGAGCTGTAAAGCGATTTGTAACCACAGATTTGGTGTCTTTTATTTCCTTTTCCAAGTGAAGCCAGATGCATTACGCTTCAAATGCTTTTGGTTGTGTGCATAAGGACGTAAAAGCATCATCCTTCATGCCAATGATGTTCACACTGATGTGAACTGTCAGTTCAGAAGAACGCTCGGTTTGTTGCTGCTTCAAGTTGACACATTTAGTTCAGTGAAAAACAAGCCTACATAAGCCCAAAACAAGAGGTTAACAATTCACCTTGCTACTGTTTGCAACAAACCTATCAATCGGGATAGCTTTTTTGTTTTATGACTTTTCAGTTTAGGAACCATTTCATGTGATTTAAGTAATGCTCCATTACTAAAAACTGCAGTGAAAGATTTAAGCAGGGCAGTCAGTTTGTTGTAAAGTCAACAGAACACCTATGTTGCTCTAATGACCATTATAGATGCTCACAAACTGCCATTACCACTTCCTGTATCAGGCAAACAGACAAAATAACCACATGTTTATGTATTCTATGTGAAGCGTTCTGCATGTTTGTCAGATCACATTCTCTCTGCTAGTTAATGCTTGTAATGCTCGTTGGCTGTTCCTGTGTTTGAATGTGGCCATCAACACAACCATTCAATTAACCCCAAAAGGCAATCAAGATGCGGCAAAGAAGATTAAATAGTTTAATCAAATTAAAGAACCATGACTTTTGCAACAGAAAAAATCTAGCAACTAACTCTTTGCGTTAAGCACTCGGTTATGAATGACTCCTGTGGGTACACAGATCAGTACAATAATTGGCGTAGTATAATACACTCTACCTTACTTTTTTCTGTTTGATGCTGATTCTGCTTTTGTGTCATATATCTAACTTGTTAGGTATTTCATAGAGCACCATGCTATGATCTGTTTCTTAGACACAATCCACTTCATAAAGATCTGGTGATATTCATGTTGCTTTAAATGTATAAACTAAAAAACAGCACAATATTCCGGAGGAAGGTAATTTAATAAATCAGGGAAATTTGAATAAACTAATAGATGAGTGGTTGTTGGTGCAACCTGAGCAGGTTGAAGTTGATATGAAAAGAACTATAATGAATCGATTTATTGACGTAACGTGTTGGTCCTAGCTGTGGAATCTCAATCATATCTTAATTTGAACGTTTAGAACTGTAAGAGTCTACATTGGACACATGAAGGCGCCATTTCCATTCATAAGAAAACCTAATCTTCTTTTAAGTTGAAGAAAAAAATCTTAAAGTTCCAAAAAAAAAAACGTTCATGTCACAAAAAAAGAGTCACTACTCTTGTCGCAATTCATATCCACTGCTCTTCTCTCACTCCGATCAGTTGGGTTATCTCATGAGGTCAGGACGCAGAAGCTATTTTCTAACCAGCACGGGATCATACTTTTTTCTTTTTCTTTTTTTTTGTTGTTGCTGCATTTTGACTGTACAAGTCCATTCACTCGTATTCATTTAGAGTGTCCTTTTCCCACTCGGGTTTCCCGGTGTCGCCCTGTGGATGAGCCATTGCCATTACGCACGGCGCAGCGCTCACATGCTCCGTGGACGAGTTCTCTCAGAATGAAGCAGCGCGTGGCAGGGCTCTCGATGACGGACCGGGACCACACGGAGGATCCTGTTGCTGCACGAGCCTCTGTCGTTTTCATCACGCGTGAAATGAATTCCCCTCTCATGCCACGACGCATTAGTGTCCCTGTGATCATGTCCCGGCTCGCGTCATCCCGCTGCTCCACGGACCAAGGAGTGTGGGTTCGTGCCCCAAGAAGTTCAAAACCCCCTCTCCCCGTGAAGTCGTTTTGAATCTCTGGACTTTACTTTTTTTTTTTCTTTTACTGTTCTCTGTTTTTCAACGGAACACTAGAATACCTAACCATATCATGGCCGCTGCGTCCTGAGGGGGAGATGGATTTAGAGGGGAAGGATGTGAACATTTCCAACTGCTCGCGGAATGAGAGCGACTGCGAGCTGAGCGCCTCACCTACCCGAGTGTCCACTGCGCTGGCCAGCGTGCTGATCTTCACCATAGTGGTAGACATTCTGGGCAACGTCCTCGTCATCTTGTCCGTGTACAGGAACAAAAAGCTCAGGAACGCAGGTGAGGCACAGCAGACGTGGACGAGGAGTTGGTCTCGTCTTCATTTGTTGGGAAGAAATAGTAAAATTTGTCAACTGAGGTTGTTCATATTCCAACTGAAGGGGAAACACAAACTTTAATCTTTGATTGATTCTAAATTCAAATAGCTTGAAAAAGCCCCCTATTGTACTCCTGTGTGTAGGTCCCACCTGCTTTCTTTGCCTCATTCATAATTAGAATTATGTAATCTATGCAGCCTGTGACCCCCTTGCTTCAAAATCAGGCTGCTATCTGAACAGAGACTCCACTCTCAGTGCGATGGACTTTCCACAGCCTTCCATGCCTGCCTGCATAACTCTCTATAAATAATAACACCCTCTTGCCATGATCTGGCTTTACCCTTGGTCTCTTCATCCCAGATAAATCACCCCGATCCTAAAATCAGGACCCAAGCATCCAAAGTCCAGCCGGGACGCGAAGTGCTGTGGTATAGCTTCCGTGTCCTGTTCCATAGCTTTTGTGTCACACATATATTTTATTTTACTTAAGTTGGCTACTGTATGTTGTGAAAAGAATTATTTCTGAATTTATTTCTGATCTATTTTGAATGTAAACGGTTCTTAAAGGAATACGTTAAAAAAGTCTGCTTTTTCCTGCAGAACAACGTTAAAAAATAGCTGCATTGTAAAATATAACAGCTGTCTTTTTTGTGTGCTTATGAAAGGTGCCCCCCAATGTTACGCAGAGAACAACAGCTCTGCTTCTTTCTTTTAAATATTTTTTTATTTCTCATTATGGTCACTCTTTGAGAAGCTCTTTGAGAAAACCAATAAAACTGCAGGGAACTTTTTTTGCTATTGGAAATTTAAATGTCCTTTCAAAGTCTTGGTTTCCCAAAATGTTTTTAAAACCCAAGTCTTGTGTATAGGCAGTCTCCCTAAACCATCAAATCTCAAAATTAAGTAAAAACATGCAATAAATAACAATAGGGAGCTTAAAACTTTAACTTTTACAGTAAATTACTCAAAAAAATGTGAGTGCATTGCAAGGTGATATAAAAGCAATTCAATTATTACTTTATTTATATAAAAGAACCATTACTATCTCAATGGGTAAAAGGATAAGCCAATTGAAAACGTGTAAGCAAGAGGTTAGCCGATGGGACAGCATTCCTCCCTGTGACGTCCTCCAGTTTTGGTGTGCTGGTGTACGGATCAGCAGTCTTTGACATGTTTGTACAAAGTCTCCAATTAATGCAGAAAATTGCGGGATGTAAAAGCCTGACTTTATCTTTGACGGGATTTCTAATTCCATCAAACCTTTCAGTGGTCCCTCGGGGCGTATTGATGGCAACGCGCTGGAGAGGGGTCCGCATGCTGGGCCACACGCTGTCGGACAGAAGTGATCACATAGGACAACTTTGTATTGATTTGCGGTGACCCTTCCCTCTAAAAGGGGCAAATGGTCCAGGAGCATGCCAGCACAGTGTCTCCCACAAGCCACCGGATCCTGTCACTGTTTAGTTCAAGGATTCAGATTTTCCCCTGACCTCAATTTCACACAGTCCCAAAGCAAATGCAGCTATCTGTCATCTCTGTATGGTCGACAATTATGTGTGTTGTAGCTCATGTCACTTTGTAGAAAACAGATAAAATGATATATTCATAGCTGGTGTTCCCTGGCATGGAAAACAAGGAGCAGCAAAGAAAAGAGACAATTACAGAATGACATGAGAAATGAAATCACACCATGAACTCACAGGTCTTCTTCTTTTTCTCCCTTTTTTTATCTTTGCCAAAGGAGCAGTTTCAAAACACATAATGTAATTCGCGTTCTCGAGTCACAAGAACCCGCAAACACATTTCACATTAATTGTACCAAATCTTGTGATTTAGTTTCCAACAAAGCGCCGCGCCATGAGACGTGGCATCAGTGATGTCTCACAGCATGAAAACAGATCTGAGCGCTACAAGAAATGGGCATTTGATGTTCGACCCGCTTTGAAGGATAGGGTTCTGCGGGATGAGCAGTGTGTACTGTGGCCATTAGAGCCAGTGGAGTCAGGAGAGCCATCGGCTCAGGAGACAGCCTAAACCCGCCAAACACAACAGCATGCGCTTCTAATGAGAACCTGTGACTGAGGCTGCTGGATGACCTCAGCAACTGTTCGGATTAATGAGCTCTTGATTACGATTTGGAAATATTTTACATAACCCATCGGATGTGCTCAGCCAATCGCTGTTTGGCACGAAGTTTATAAAAGACCCCCGAACAATAATTAGATTTCCCAGTTTACAAAGGGGACACAGTCGACTGGTCTCAAACAACGGGTCAGGAGTCAGTGGCCTCACACTTGCTGACCCCAGTGTTCACCAGCTCTAATTGGACGGAGTGACTGACAGGTCCGGTCACCGAGAAGTCCTCAGTGCAGTTGTGTTCATGCACGAGAGGTAACCCGAGCCTCCAGCAGAGGTGTAGAGATTACCCTGCTCTATATAGATCGGATTTTTTCCAAACGCGTTCTCAAGTTAGGCAGTTGGCTGAACAACAACCTCCCCTTTGCTCTTTACAAGCCATCTCTCGGCTCGCTTTGAATTAATGTTACATTTTCACTTATTCTTTTCCAGACACTGTTGTATCTGAAAGAGCTGAAACTGCTGAAAAGAAGCTATGTTTTTTTCCCCCCGTCCTATGTTATTCGGGCTGCTGGTTTTGCTTCCTGGCGCACGCAACAGCAGGACCTTTCCGCTCGGCTTCATACCAGCACTCTGGCTTCGCACGCTGCATCCTTCCACTATCCATCACAACAAACACAAGTGTGCACACGCATGCATTTGGTAGGAGTGTGTATGTCTGGGTAAAGAATTCGTCGGTGCCCAAACAGTGACTGGTTTCCGCTTTCTTCCCTGCTTCTCGGCTTCTTTCAAAAGTGCAAACATCGTCTGATTGTGTAGAGCATAACACTAAAGGACTGCCAATGGGATGTTAACACTAGAGTTTCCCACTGGGGTTAACCAGGCTAAAAATACCACTCACAAAGTGCAAGAGAGAGAGAGAGAAGGCTAAAGGGGGCAGATGGAAGAAAAAAATCCAAAGTGTGTGGATCCGTGTGCAGTTTGTGCCACCTCGTTCGGAGCTGAGGGTCATGGGATGCGCAAAGTTAAGCAAGGACTTGAACTTTGTTAAATCACGCATCGCATCATCCCCCCAGTCTCTCTGCAGTCCCCACTACCCCCCCACCATAAAACCAACAGACAAGAAGTACGTCCAGAGACGGGGTAGGGGTGGGGGGGGGGGGTAATTGAGTAAGTGGACTTTGTGAGTCAGACCAGAAGTCAATGTAAATTGACAGCCCAGATCCATGGGGAATATCACTTAGCACACTACATTAAGCATGTCTTCTTTTCCTGAAAACAAAATTGTAGATGACATTTTTACGCGGTAACAAGCAACATTATAGGATTAGGATCATCTGAGCAGGGTCCACTTGGGGAGGTAATCTAATTTTTCGCATTACTTTAAATCTCCGTAAACTGAAGGAGGCTCCTCGTCGAAATTTGGATTTTCGCACGTCCTCTTTGGTTGTGCTTCACAGCCCCATGCACCAAACACTGCTTGTGTACTGATGGTCTAATTTTCTCTCAGGGCCAGTGAGTCTTAGGTTCTCAAACACAAGGGGCATGATTGGTGGATGGCCCCAGATGATAATGCTGCTGCTGCTGATGATGATGATGATGATGATGTCTTTGGTTGAGCTCACAGCATGCTCCATGACCAAAGGGCTCCTCACGTCAGTTTAATGTTGAACTTCTCCAAATTCTCTGGCCCCTTCTATGCAAGTTCATGAAGTCGTCAGTACTAATTCATCAGCGCTCATGCCCTTGCTGAAAGGTTTTTCTTGCTTATTTATCCCAACTTGACTAAGTCAAATGTAAAGTAAATGTGTGAAATCCACTCTAATGAGGAATGTGCTGGTGACATCCAGCCAGATTCAAGCAATGGCTGCACTCCCACCAATGTATTCCTCCTTTTTTTTGGCGTGGGTGAGGGTGGTGGTGGGGGGGATTCATCTTTCCTTCAAAGGTGTTTATATATAGCCGGGTGAATCAAAGCATAGTAGAGTGTGTCACGTTTCCAGTTATGAGCAGTGACAGTGATGGGACACAGACGGTGGCTGAGACACAGGAATACAAGCCCCTGAGGTACACGTGTGCACACAGCCATGCGAGTCATGAGGCTGAAAAGCCACTTGGCCGGCAGGCTTTTTTTCTTTGCTTTTTGTTTGTCTTATTTTCTTACATCTCCCTCATTAACTTGCACTTGCTCCAACACATCTCTCCTTTTCATTTGCTATGTTCTTTTTGCCGCTCAGCTGGTACAATATTCCATCCCCGTGCCTGGAATGCGAACACAGCCTCTAACTGTGGCACATATTTGTCTTTGTATAATAGAGCTGAGGGTGTTCTAGTTCCATATGCGCTCCAGTCTGGTGTGCTGGATCGGTCCTGATCGTGTGGTGAAACGGGTTTTCCATTCACCAAAACAGAGAAAAGCACACGATGGGGTCGGCTGGGTGGCCGCTCAACTCTCAGGAGACACTTTAAGCAAGAGTCAGTAGATTTGATGCAACACTTCCCTCGGTTGACGATTTAGCGCGGGTGCAGCCCGCTGTAAAATCAAATAATTACAGAGTGGTGTCAGAGAAGTTAAAGGCTCCGTGTCAGCTGTCCCTGCTGGTCTGTAACAAATCAGCATTCAGGTTGAGCTCCTCTTGACTCACACTTGATAATTATAGCTCCAGAAGAGGGCACGACTCTATCCTTGTATGCAGGTGTGGGACCATCTTTGTTGGTCGGTTTGGTTTGTGTTACACTGAAACAATCAATGTTCGGGGGTGTGATGAGCACCGTTGCGGCCAAGTCGGTAAATTCCACACACACGCACGGAGGTAATGCTTCGTCCACTGTTTCAATGAAGGACGGAAACAAAACAAAGGCAATCCTCTGGACGCTTAACAGCCCTCCTCTCAGGGGTGTTTTTGCACTTATCCTCATCCCGACAACCAGTGTGCGAGAGGGTTCAGCAAGAGAGAGCTGTAAAGCCCGAGTGTGCCCCGTCCAGCCATGATAGCACGGAGTTGCATGATGTCAGAGAGGAATCAAACCTCTGCACAATGACAAATGCACACAGCGAGTGCTGGGAGCGTCACAAATGCAATCTGACAGATTTGCCCACTGAGCTGGCTCGGGGATGAAGAACAAATGCTTTTATTTTTATCTCAGCAGGCTCGAGAGATGGCTCGTGCTGTTTTAGTGGGTTGGAAATTAAGTCTGACAACGCTACGACGTTGGCGATAAAATAATAAATCCACGTTTAAATGAATGAAAAAGCAAAGCTTGTGGTATTTGCTAGTTTGAATGAAACAACTGTTAAAGAGCTCTATGTAATTTCCTTCTCCTTCCTTACTCATCGCAGCTAGGTAGGGTCCACTTGACTGGATACTGAACCACGCTGTAGCTGTGTTGTTCCTAGTGAGATTTGGACTGATGGCCAACTTTTTTTCTAAGTCCACCTAGTGTGATTTGTTCAGCTGTGAGTGAGCCAGAGCGTTGCTCCTCAAAGTTTTAGCCTCAGATCACGGTTCGTGTTTTTTTCAGGCACGTGTGGACTGGATTACCCCAACATTGAACAAGTTTTAATTATAACCTTGTTTAATTAATAATGAAATTATTTACAGAAGACATACTTTCACATCTCAGCGATTTCCACGAAGTTGAGGAGGAAATTTCATGGTGTACAGCTATCATGACATCTGTTCGCTTTTCCCAATATCACAAATGGTTCTCTCATTATTTGGTTCAATCAAGTTGATGTTTCCTATTTCTTTGAGCACTGATCATTAAAATAAAGTTGTCAATCTCTTGAAAAGATGTGTGGGCTGCCCTGAATAACATAAAACGCGCTGTGTGTTTACAGGCAACCTTTTTATTTAGTGGTTAGTCTTCTACCAAATTGAAAGCAGTCACAGTCTTTGCTCATTTTGCAAGAGACCAATTCAGTGCTCCAAGTTTATGGTTTCCATCTCCTTCATTGACTTAACATTACGATTTGATTTATTGTTTTATACCTCGCCATACAGAACAGCAGCACTGTAACAATGTTGGATGTCATTTTCCATAATTCATCTCTTCTGAAAAGATCCAGCATCAGCTCTGATCTCAGGGAGACGGGAACTTGTGTGGAAATCATCGGACCACTAAATTCACCCATGTCCTGTTTTATCAAGGGCTTTGGTGTGTTTTTAAATGTGTGCGACTATCTGTTCCTGGGGTCAAAGAAGTTTTTAAACAAGAGGAGGGCAGACATTTTTTTTAAAGAGATATTTTGTTCTTTTTTTCAAGGGAGATGGTTTTGTAGTATTCATGAGTGGTGAGTGCCTCTGCTGTAGTAGACAGCAGTCAGAGTGCTCTCTGGAAAATCAGAGGCTTTCTTGACAGACAAGCTAAAGGAAAAAGCTACTGTGCCACCAGAGGAGCAACGTTTACACGCACAACACTGCAGAATAGAAAGGATATTGACCCTGGTGCTTCTTTACTAATGATGTCTTTGCAAAACTATGTTTGATGATTTTATGTTTGGAAAAGTAAAAAATATTTGCTAAATAACAGTATGCACAACCTTATGAGACAAGTTCTTTTTGCAGGATATCTATCAAAATAGACAAAGCTTTGTGTATGTCCTTCTTTTCTTCTAACATTTCCAAGGTAACCAGAAGCATTTGTAGTGATTTATTGAATCTATGCACAAACGTAGAAGGAAATGTTTCCCTGGAGAGAATGTGTTATATTCCAGTTGTTTTTTATTTAGTCATTTATCATGAGAAGTTACAATACATGGTTAATGGTGCTGACAGGAATGGCTTCCTCTACTGTGCTCTGTTGCATTGGTGCTGAAGAAGCACCTGACTGAACACAATTAGGCAAGCCTCTTTGTTTCCGTCTCAGAAAGATAAAGTTATAACAGCAATATGGAAATAGATAAGAGTTGCCAGAACTCTTACAACCTTGACAGTCAACGTTGGTTTGACTGTGTTTTCACTTTCAGTTTGATACAATTCGATGATTCTGGATTTAAGCGCTTTATCAGAGACTTTGATTTTACTCTATATTAACAGTTGAGAAATCTGGACTGCTCCAGGTTTGGTCAAATAAAAGATGCTGAGGTAACTGGTAAAGGGAATAGCTAAAGGTTTAGAATAATTTATTTGGAAGAAGATCCACCTGAACACATGCTTGTTGGTCTGAAGAACTTGAAATAAAACCTCTGTGTGGTAAAAATGTTCAGTAACGCCTCCAAGAAAAGCAGCAACTTAAAGTCAGGCAGCTTGTGATTGAATGTCTTGCTCTGGGCCATGGCGTCATTGTCCCAGCCCGGGTCTGTCATGATCCTGTCAAACACCATTATCAGGGTGCTCTGACCCTCATGCACTGCTTGCAGTTCTCTGCTTTTAAAGTGGCAGCATGTCACAGAGCCCCCTGGCACTTATGTTAAACCAACCTCAGCCTGAGAAGATGTCCATTTAGCAGGTTTTGATTGCAAAACAAACAATGGAACTCACGCATTGAATATTTTTGTATCCTCTAGCTTGTTTGTTTGCTTTTTTTTGCCTTTGGATTGACTAAACTGCTACGTTCCAACATTCCTATTGCCAAAAAATCTATCAGGTTATTGAGTCTTTTTGAAATCTAGAAATTATTGTTCAAAGAGGGGTCTTCCTCATTGAACAAAATATAAGGCCTAAATAAATGTTCTGTTGTGGTTTTCTCAGCTTCTTGTCCTTTACACAGGAACAAAATGCCAACTCTATCTGATAAAAGCACAGCAATTCTAAAAATTGAATTATATTTCCGTCTCACCCCATAGAACAGCGGTTCCCAGCTTGGGGTCCTCGGCTCCCTTTGGAGGCACCAAAAATTACATGTAGTGTGTGAAATGTTCACTACACAGAAAGTTGTGTGAACTCACTACATTTCCAGCTTAGAGGACATACAATACCTCAGCTGTGAGGGTTTTCTAAATCATCTTCAGGCTGACTTTGCGTCAAGGAGATATTTCCAGGAGAACGAATACAAAAAAGTTTCGGACACGCAAAGGACACGTTGCACTATGACTGATACTTTTTTAGGTTATGCATCCATTCAGCACCATGTGCCTGTCAGAAACAGACATTCACAGCTAAAGTCTGAAGCCCATAGCAGACCGTCCCAAACACGACACCTGACAGTTCATATTTGTCCGGAGAGGCTCATAAAAATCCAGGCAATTTTTTGGGACCCAAAACACTGAATATAGAGTTTCTGGTTGTGGTTAAAAGCCCTTAAACAAAAAAGTGATGTCCAAAAGCAGAAGCAAACTAACGTCCCCTGCTACGAGCTCAAACGTTTCCTGAAAGGTGGCAGAAAATAAGCATTTTAGAACAACACAAACATGAGGGTAAAATATAAAAAATATAAAATAGAATTTTCTCCAGCTATGTTCAATAGGGAAATCAAATAAAACTTTAGTGGTCCCTTTATAAAAATCCAAATTTTAACCTTACTATGTATATTATTAGTTTTTTTTACAATACATATCGTTAGCAAAATCCTTGTGGGTCCTTGCTTGGCCTGATCATGTGATTCTGGTCATCTTTGGCTCCATTTTCTTTATTAATAAAAAAAAAAACTGAATGTTATTTAACAAGGATTGCATTTTTTGTCACATGATTTACATGATCTGCTGTTTTGTTTTGCCTCTTAACCGCTTCTGTTTCTTCAGGCAACATCTTTGTGGTGAGCTTGTCAGTAGCAGACCTGGTCGTGGCTCTGTACCCATACCCTTTGGTCCTGACGGCCATTTTCCACAATGACTGGACCATGGGTGATCTGCATTGCCAGGCCAGCGGCTTCGTCATGGGCCTCAGTGTCATCGGCTCTATTTTCAATATCACCGCCATCGCCATTAACCGCTACTGCTACATCTGCCACAGCCTCCACTACGACCGTCTGTACAGCCTACGGAACACCTGCTGCTACCTGGGCCTCACCTGGCTGCTCACAGCCATCGCCACGGTACCCAACTTCTTTGTTGGCTCCTTGCAGTATGATCCCCGCATCTACTCCTGCACCTTCGCACAGACCGTCAGCACATACTACACAATCTCAGTGGTGATTATTCACTTTCTCATCCCACTGCTGATTGTGTCCTACTGCTACATGAGGATATGGGTCCTCGTGATACAAGTCAAACATCGGGTCAAACCGGAGCAAAGGACCAGACTGAAACCCAGCGATGTGAGGAACTTTCTGACTATGTTTATGGTGTTTGTGTTATTCGCTGTGTGCTGGGCTCCACTGAACCTCATAGGACTGGCTGTGGCCATAAACCCCGGGAAAGTTGCACCCAGCATACCCGAGTGGCTCTTTGTCACAAGCTACTTTATGGCATACTTCAACAGCTGCCTCAATGCCATCATTTATGGATTGCTAAACCAAAATTTCCGCAAGGAGTACAAGACAATTCTCCTGGCTTTTTGTATCCCACGTTTGCTCCTCATGGAGACCTCCAGGTGTGCCACAGAGGGACTGAAGAGTAAGCCTTCACCTGCTATAACGAACAATAATGTAGCAGAGATAAATGTATGATTAGAAATTTAAATGGGCAAGTGGATGTGCCATGGTTCATACTGGTGCCTTTTCAAGATGTGCATCATTTTCCTGTTGTAAGGATGTGAGAAGACATTGCAGCCATCATGTTCTCTTTCAGCCAGTCTGGCAATGTCGTTCCGGTTTATGTAGCTCAAAATTAGAATGTGATAAAAGGTTCTTTGTTCCCCAGTTTCACATTTATTTCACTGATGCGCCCCTGGTCGTATATTCCACACTCAAAGACTTAGGGGACCTGAGCTTGTTAGCCCAAAATTGGGATATAGGAGGTCACTGACTAACCAACTAAATGACCAACTGACCATCTAAATGGTAAACAAGAAAGAAAAAGAGGTCCCAAGATAACAACAACCCGAAGACATTTACTTGGATGGTATCAGATAGCTGTAAAAGCGATTTCCCCAAAATATTTTCTTTGGACAGTTCATACGAACTGTACAGCCTTTTTCTTGATTTCAAGACTATATCATAGAACCCCGTCCCTGCATGTGTACATCATGTGTAAGTGAATGATTCACCACCATTTGCACCAATCAACTATGAGTGCGTCAGCAACCTGCTGACAATAAATGTATTTTCTATTGCAAATGCGTGTACTCTTAAATGCAGCATAAAATAAAGGAAAGCCTTTAGTTTCATAGTTTACAATCCTATTTGCTTTAGTGCTCTCACAATGACCAATTACTAAATGGCCCTATCCATTTTAAACAGTTGTGAGTTTTGAAAGGCGATAAGCCACGAGTTCAGAAAAACATTTTAGATTCATCCAAAGCTGTGGTAAGGCTGGTTCCCATTGTGTGTGAAAACGTCCGCTTCACTCATTCACCCTCAGGCTCCCACTTTAGCACTCACTAAACACACTGGAAATATTGTGGGAGCTTTTGCTCTTTTTTCTTTTTTAATTGAGAAAAATAAATACCTCACAAGGCCTTTCGTGCGATGAAAATGCCCTATTGTTTGTGCAATTAACTTCTCACAGCTTTTAAACCAATTCTTTAACATATCTCAAGTATCGTACGCATGGATTTGTAGGGCTATAAAGTTCAAAGCCCCTGGCGACCCCTTTTAGAATGATTTTAATGATTTAGGAACTGCAGAGACTGTAAAAAGAGGAAATGTAGATGGTAAACAAAGCTACCTCTCTTGTTAATTAAATGCCTACAAGACACGATATGCATCAGTAGCCAAAGAGATGTAATTTCCTTATAGTGCCAGTGTGCCCAAGCCCATGTCACCCTGCGCAAGATGAGCTCTGACAGCACCCCCCAAACCAACTACCAACAGTTCACATCACAGTTAGGCTCCGAGACATCTGTGATATATACAGTTGATTCACTGTTACAGGAATATAGCATGAATCAAACATGTCTCATGTTGCATGCGGGGTTTTAAAAAAAATCCTTGGCATACTGTACTCCACATTTACTCACAGGTCCATAGGCCAGCTTTTGCATTCTGCTGGTCTCTGCAGTAGGCAGTCCATTGTCAGACTAAATTAAACCCTCATATAAGGGAGGAGGAATCTAAATCCATTAGAGTTCTTTTCTCAGCACTGTGACTCAAACTAATGGAACCAGGTGCTGTCAAGCTTCAAAGCAGCAAAATGGCACAAAAGTGTTCAGCCCTGCTTCTTAAACATCAGTGGCTCTGAAGTGGAAGACTAAAGAGGTCCAGAAGCCAATGCAAGGTCAGCCACAGGTGAGTAGCTGAGGCAGCCTGGGGGGAAATCTCAGTGTCAGCTCTATCAAACTGAAGAGTCACTCTCTATAGGGTCATCCATCAGCCCTTTCATCATAACTTCTTGACTCCTCTCCATTTCTTACTGTTTCCACTGGTGCTATTCCTCCTAAGGCACAGTGTTGTGCTGAGAGTCATGAGAGAAGAATGAGAGACCATTTAAGTAAAGCAATCCCAACTGTGTCCAAAGGTTAGAAACAAATCAGCCTCACTGTTCAATCAACTACTGACAGTTTTATATTTGAAGACAACTACAAAAACTTATAGTTAGCAGTCTGGGGACTCCAGACTGATGATCAGAGGTCTTGGCCCCACATTCTTAATGGGACACAACGTACCCATTAAGTATACCCAAAAATGGTAGATTACACTGAACATGTCCATGCTCATCAGTAGGTTTAAGAAGTTGGTTTAACCACATTTTAAGCATTAGTTTTTATGGTCTAGGACCGGATCAGCACACATGAATGAAAAATAGCCACTGAGCCATTCACTATGACAATTATAGGAATAACCTTTTGGCCTTACCAATTAGTCGGTAATTGCTAGAGCTTCATTCCAATTTTTGGAATGAAAAAGAATTACAGACAAAAAAACCCATGGTCAACCAAAAATATTTTATTCCACAAAAAAATAGAGACATCCCAACTGAATTTACATCAGTGGAGAACTGTTGTACAGTCTCCACGAACTCAATGGGAAAACATTGAAACTGACACAAAACTGAAATATGTTAATGGGGATTGAAAAGAAAAAAAAATCTGTACTGTCTTTCTCCTACATTATATGGCTACTGTACTTTTGTTTGATTTATACAAGGTGGTCAACTTAAATAAGTTGTCATGTGTGAAAAATCACATTGTCACAGTAAGTGAAAGGCAAGAAAAGAGTAACAGAATGCTAAGTTATTTGAAATATTACCTAAGATAAATAGTTGAAGGCACTGAATGTGAAGCAGGAGTCATAATGTGTAAATTAAGTCCCAAGAGGCAGTGAATAGCAAGCACAAAGCTTATGAATGAAGTCTTTGATATCCATTTAATTAAATCCCATCTGAATATTTATTTCAAAACCAAAGTCAGAGTTTGCAGCAGACACAAATCAATAGTAAATCTGCCCCTAACCATCTGGAAGTAATTATATCATGTTTTACATATCCAGATAACAGATATCAGGCCCATGACATCCTGTTTCTTGTGAGAATAGGTTAAATTTCATAATGGCTATAAAAAAACATTTCAATAGTTATTGCTAAATGTTAGCTCAGGGCATTATTCTATTTTTTCTCCTTACTGGATGCATCCTGCAAAAAAACCTGCTCAAGCATGGCTGTTCCAAAAATAGACTACTGGTACCACAAATAGTCCAAAAAATCCCCTACAGAATTCATGTCTGGAAAAAAATCCTTAAAATGTTTTTGCATATTCTGATGCTGTTTTGTGGAAACAGAGACATATCCACCAGTTTGGAGGTATTGATCACACTTTATCACTTCTCAACTGCATAAAATATCATGGTATAAGTTCTGTTTTCCCACTTTGAATATTAAAAACAACAAATTTGTAAAACAAAGAGTTCTACAGTTCTATATGAATTCATGGAAGAATATAGAGTACAATCCAAAATCCAGGATGAAAATGCTGAAATGATGCACCACACTATCTGTCATTCAGCCTGTAATTCAATATGAAGGTGAATGACTTGCGAAGACATTTTTCTTACAGTTATGTTCAAGGACAGCGTGATGTATCCATCCTGCCATATGCTAGAACATCCACAATAACTAATGGCTCCATTTTGTCAGTTTCCCCGGTACAAGTGGGTCTGTCTCTCTGTGATGTCTCTGAAGCATTATGCACTGTCTTTGCTTTCTCTGTAACATCAGTTCATCTGTTTGCTTTTGACCATAAATTCTTGGAGCAAGTCTAAATGTAACACGAATACCATTAGACCTTTCACATCATATAAAAGGCAGGTATTTTCATCTCATTTGTGAGTAAATGTTTCAGCCAGCTACAACCCTCTGGGATGCATCCCGTTGGCATCACAGATATTTTTGTCCTAGTCACAGAGGGGGAAAAAATATGAGTTTGTCTGAGGACATAATACTTAGCTCTATGTTTTTTTTTCTGCTCTCCTCCTGAGAGGTTTGTTTGCACAAAAAGTCTCAAGGAAACAAGTAGCTCGGGGGGAAAAGAAGATTATTTCCACAGCAGCAGAACTTCGCCGCAAATGTGGTTAACACAAAATAGATGAGCAATGAGGCATTATATAGCCCGACGTTAGCATGGCCTGATGGGTTTTCACCCACTAGATGAAGCTAGATGTAAATCCTCTCACTACACAGAGGAATTTCTACAGCTCTTGCACATCATTGCGTTTTACAGCAGTGGGATCTCACCGTAGGCCCGCTGCTACAACAGCAAGTTTCCTAATGGATTTGTGCACTGGGTTTAGCAGTGCATGTGTTCCCATGCATATGATGTGTCCCTACATTGTTTGGCCGCGGGTCACGACACCGTCAGGAGGCTTCAGGTGTCATGATTCCAAGAAACGACGGGACGGTCAGAAAAAGGAATAATGCTGATTATTTGACTTCATTTTCTTGGACTTTATTTGTAGACTAGATCATATACAACAGCGGGGATTACAGATTAATCTCTCCCTGACATGACCAAATGTTCCCACGCTCCCTGGTAGCTAATGATGCTTCATGATACAGCAAATGCACTTGCATATTCAGTTAATGCAGCAATAGAGCATAAAAACCTCACATTCATGCCGCCTAATAAGCACTAGTTTATTAGGCTATATAGTTAAAGAATTCCTTTTTCTCATCAAGTCAATTACTTGCCATTTTGAAATGGACACACTATTCAGGCATGATTCTCTGCAAAGCAGAATAAGCTTTCAAAAAAGACTTCCTCAATGAAGCAGCAGCCAGATTGTGCTTTTTGGGAGTCTTTCATGCAAAAAAAAAGAAAGAAAAAGAAAAAGAGGAGGCTTTGGTCAAGTCTATGATGATGTAATGTTGTTCTTTTATCTAATGCATTTTATATTAAATTTTAACTTCCTAATAGAGTTTATGTAACTGTAATTACAAAAACTATGATGTTGAATTGGTGAAATTCTGAAACTGTACGGTGCATATCCTCTACAGCTCACAATGTTTGTACTTTAAAAGTGATTTCATTGTAAGAAAATTGACAGACTATATGCAGAGACAGAGGAAGCGTTCCCTGTTTCTGCACCATCATTATTAATCATTATCAAACATCTTTCTTATGTGTAAAAATCTCAAACTGTCCTACCAATTCTAACTGTAATCAGTTTATGGTAAAGAAACATATGTAGGAGTCTTAAGTGCATTCTTATGACAAGAAGAATAAAACTACAATAGGTGTTTCAGAACATATTACAAAAATCAAATCAATCAATCAGTCAATCAAACTAATCAATCAAGCCAAATTTAACATTTTTAACCAAAGCAACAATTCAATCTGCATTTTGTATATCAGATATGAGCATGTCTTGATTTGATGTGGAACTAGTCATATGCAGAGTTTCTGTGGTCGTTGACAAAAGAAAGACAGCTAAAGACTCCCCTTTTCCCATGCTTTTCTCTGTACATTTGTCAAATAGGGTATACCTTTCTACTTCCTTTTATTTTTCACAGGGAAAAGTTTGATTTACATATTACATATTACAAAAATATGCTGAATCGAAAGATGATAACATCATCCTGTTCGAATTCTCAACCATGGTTTGGGTGTATCTCCATTTTATATCTCTGTAATATTCTACTTGAAGTCTGAATTCTATTT